CCCCCAAACACTGTCTCCTGGTACTCGTCTGATTGGTCGGGACACGTGACATGAACGTGCCGGGTGGCGTGTCCCGTGGGTTAGATGGAGGGAAATAACTCTCAGAATAATGTTATTAGCACATTATTACAACTTGAGGAACGAATGTTTTTAATAAGGGCTATACAAGTGTTCATACTGGGTAGTTTATTTAATTAAAAAAAAAAATATCCAACGATTTACAGACCACTCTTTCCCCATGTAAGTCAATGGGAAAAAGTGTTTCCGGTCCTCGCAACCAAACGGAAGTGTAGTACCGCCGTTTGGCCACCACGAATATTTTCATCTGAGTCCGGCGCACTTCCTGGGGGCTTGATACCGATAGCAGCACCGTTTGTCCAGCGGCTTAACAGTATACCGATAGCGTCCAATCAGGTACCGGTATTGACTTAGTACCGGTTCTCCCAGTTTTCATGCAACAAAAAATCTCACTTTATCTTTTTTCAAACACATTTTTAAGTCTATTTTCTTTCTCCTGTGGCATCGACACGGCCACTTATCGTCTGTTTCCTCCTCCTTCAGGCGGAGTTGAAGGACGAGGCGGAGAAGCCCAGCGAGTCTGCGGAGAAGAGCGACAAGACCGATGCCGCGGACAAGGTGAAGAAGGAGGGGTCCGAGTCGTCGGAGCGCGAGGAGGAGAGTGAAGAGGGAGGGGATGCCAAGGCGGCTCCAGCAGGTAACACGGAGAATCAGGGTCAAATGCTCAAATAAATCCACAAGCTTCTAGTGCATCGATGTATGGGGGAGGATGTGTTTTTGCAGTTATCATTAGTTCCCTTACAGAACACCCTGATATTTCGTGTCCCGTAGAACTAATTAGCCACAAACATTCTTTGGGAACCGAAAGTGCTAGAATGCTGACTCATTTCTAGGTCTTGGCACCCCTCCATGATCTCGTAAATAAGGCTGCAACTAACTATTCATTTAAATATCGATTCATAATGCAGATTACATGGTTTCAAGCGACTATCTTGTCCAATTATCAAGAAATTGTTAAAAGAAATTGTCAGTAATGCTATTACATACTTTAATATGTTCGACCAACAGTCCATCTAAAGATATTTTGTTTACTGCGACATTTGACACAAAAAACAGCATAAGTTTTGAAAAAATTTTCTTTAACAATTAATAGATTTGAATAAAAATATTTAGTTTCAATGTGTCAATTAAGACAACTAATCAACTCTACTTGTTATATACGAGAGACGGGTCCAGAGTGCAGAAGGTTTTTCTTGTTTAATTTAAAGTAGTTGTTAAGTCGCTGTCTCCCTCCCTATCAGACAAAGACAAAGAGGAGTCCATGGAGACGTCGTCCTCGGAGCCGGAGAAGGAGAAGGAGGAGAAGGCAGTTACTGACGAGGTAGAGGAGAAGAGGAAGAAACTGGAGCACGACATCGGAGAGGGGAACATCGCCACCGCGGCCGCTGCTGCTCTGGCATCTGCTGCCACCAAGGCCAAGGTGAGATTACAGGAGTGCTGACTCAGCAAACACACATCTGATTCACCCAGAGTTCACCTTGTTGTCATGTTCAAAACTTGCGCTGAAAGATTATCTTATTTTATGTTGCAATAATATATTTTGTTAAGGGCAATCTGTAAATAGTGGTGAATATGTTTTTTTATTTATTTTTAAGAAAGAGTTTAAACGGAGTATATTTATTTAAATTCTTCAAAAAAGAGTGAGAGGAAATGCTGTTCTCATAATTGTGTTGGCCTCCTTTTTAATGCACTACGGTTATCTTAGTATATATTAGAGCTGTCCCGAACACCATTTTTCGGGCTCCGGATATTCGGTCGTAATCAGCAGCGAATATTCGGCGTGCACGTTTTCATCATGTGTAACGTTACTGATTACGGCGGATAAAGCAGCTTCGTCATGGCAACTGGACAACAACTAAGCTAAGCTACTACTTACAGCATTCAGGTGACTTTTCATAGTTGTTCTGCCCAGGTTTCAGTTGCCGGTCAACATGTCCGTTAAAGTTGAAATATTCCAGCCAAAATGAGAAAAGTGCCGTTCAA